CCCCACGACGCTTCATCGACGGACTCATCTTCGGATCCACGCATCACCGAACTTCTCGATGCCTACAGCGACGTGTTCGAAGGCCCGCACGGAGTAGTACTGCATCGACCCATCCGCCACGAGATCATCCTCGAGGACGGGGTCGTACCTCCGCGTGGTTGCATCTACCGAATGAGCGAGGAAGAATTAAGGGTGCTTCGGGCACAACTCGACGACCTTCTGGAGAAAGGTTGGATTCGGCCTAGCTCATCCCCATACGGTGCTCCTGTTCTCTTCGTCCGGAAGAAGAACAAGGATTTGCGGTTGTGCATCGATTATCGCAAGCTCAACGCGCAGACGATCAGAAACGTCGGCCCTATCCCACGCATCGACGATCTTCTCGAGCGACTAGGCGGCGCCAAGTTTTTCTCCAAGCTCGATCTCAAGTCAGGATATCACCAACTCGAGAATCGGCAGGAGGATCGCTACAAGACCGCATTTAAAACGCGATATGGGCATTTCGAATGGCTGGTTATGCCATTTGGCCTTACGAATGCCCCGGCCACTTTCCAAGCGGCTAGGACAACGGAGTTCCGACACATGCTGGATCGATACGTACTTATCTACCTCGACGACATCCTGGTGTATAGCCGGAGTTTGGAGGAGCATGTGGAACACCTGCGCACCGTTTTGGAGCGGCTACGACAAGCCAAGTACAAAGCCAACCGCGACAAGTGCGAATTCGCGCAGCAGGAGCTGGAGTACTTGGGACACTATGTGACGCCGCAAGGCATCCGTCCACTTGCGGACAATCGAGGCCCTACGAGTATGGCCCGAGCCCACCAACACCACAGACGTTCGTTCATTCATGGGGTTGGCGGGCTACTATCAGCGATTCATCACCGGATACTCAAGGATTGCTGCACCTATGACGCGATTACAATCGCCAAAGGTGCCATTCGTATTCGATGACGACGCACGCCGGTCATTCCAAGCACTTAAGACGGCCATGCTCATGGCACCCGTCCTTAGCATCTATCACCCCACCTTGCCGACGAGAGTGACTACGGACGCTTCCGGCTATGGCATTGGGGCAGTCTTGGAACAGCACGACGGCGACGACTGGCACCCTGTGGAGTATTTCAGCCACAAAGTGCCTCCTATAAACTCGCTTGATGATGTAAGGAAGAAGGAGCTGCTCGGATTCGTCATGGCTCTCAAGCGATGGCGGCACTTTCTCCTTGGGCGTCGTAGGTTCACATGGGTTACAGACAACAATCCATTGACCTACTACAAGACGCAGGATACGGTGAGCAGCACGATCAGACGATGGATGTACTTCATCGACCAGGTTGACTTCACACCGAAACATCTTCCCGGCCTCTCAAATCGCGCAGCAGATGCACTCTCGCGAAGACCTGATCTTTGCGCTATGACACATCATGCCTTCGCATTCGACGAGGAGCTTCAACGACACTTCACTCGGGCATATGAGTCTGATCCGGACATTGCCACGCTATATGCACAGCTATCTTCGGATCACCCGCCGACCAGCAACTATCGGATTGTCGACGGGTACATGCTTCTCCACTCGAGAGGCAAGGACTTGTTGTGTGTCCCACGAGACCGTCGTCTTCGGACTCGCCTTCTCGGAGAGTTCCATGACTCGCGACTCGCCGGCCATTTCGGAGTCAACCGCACTATTGCACGGCTTCGACAACGATTCCGATGGCCCGACCTCATTACCGATGTCACTCGGTATTGCGACTCTTGCGAAGTTTGCCGACGCAGCAAACCCCGCAACCGCAATCCCTATGGCGAGCTACGCCCGATGCCTATCCCACGGGAACCCGGTCTCTCCATTGCCGTGGACGTCACCGGTCCGTTCCCTCGCGACCGGCTCGGGCACGACGGCATCCTCACGCTTGTGGACCGATTGAGTAAGTACGCGCGTTTTCTTCCTTGCAAGTACTACTCCACGGCTCCCGAGCTGGCACGCCTCCTGCACACCGGTTGGATTTGTGGCCACGGTGTACCAGAAGACACAGTCAGCGACCGCGACACTCGCTTCATGTCGGCATTTTGGACTGCTCTCATGCAGGAGCCCGACACGAAGATGAAACCAAGTTCGGCTCGGCATCCACAGACGGACGGGCAAACGGAGCGGGCACATCAAACCGCTCAAATGATGCTTCATACGCTCATCCGTCCGGACCAGAAAGATTGGGTTGATCGCCTCCCCGACATCGAGTTCGCCTACAACACTTCGGTGCACCCGGTGATCGGCGTGACTCCATTCGAGTTGCACCACGGTGGACGGAAAGGTCGTATCTTCGCCGACCTTCTCCTCCCTCGACCAGCCGACATTGACGCCGCTTGCTCTCCCACTTCCGTCCGGAAGTATAGGGAATTGCTGACTCAAGCCCGCGCAAATATGCAAAAGGCTCAAGTCCGCATGCAGCAGCAAGCCAACAGGCGTCGCGTGCCATGTCCCATCCGCGCCGATGATCTGGTTTGGGTCTCCGCGGAAGAGTTTGCACTGGAACATGATGTTTCACGCAAACTGCTTCCCAAGCGGTTTGGACCATGGTCTGTGACATCAGCCGCGGGCGATGAGCCCGATGACCCTTCATTTGTGATCAACATTCCCGAGCATCTGACGGTCCATCCAGTCTTTCACGCGTCAAAACTGGCAACATATACACCAATTAAAAGCGACGACTTCCCGGGCCGACGATCGCAGGACCCTCCATCTATGGATGGTCATCAGGAGGTTGACCGCGTCATCTCGGATCGCAAGTACGGCAGCAAGCCGCGACAGTGCAAAGTTACATTTAGAGCATACAATCCCGACGACACTCGGTGGATTTCAGGAGCAGATTTGAAAGCATCCGCACCGCTGATCTACGCTCACTACGAACGTCAAAGGTTAGCCAAGGGACCTCCACGACCTGCCCCTCCCACCCGGACTGTGGTCCCTCCCTCAGACAGACAACTTCGTCCTCGCAGGTTAAGCTCGGTCTTTCAAGGAGGGGGGGGGGTGGCATACTGCGTAGCCACACGGGCCCTGCAGGGCCCGTCCCGCACTTTCAGCCTAAAAGCCTAAAACTTAGGGCTTACAGGACCCGGACGTTTCAGCCTGAAAGCTGAAATACGAGGGTCTGCAGGCCCTATTCCGTTTCAGCCTATTTCTAGGCCTTTCAGGCCCAGACGCTTTTCAGCCTGAAACGGAGGGCCATTTTCAGGCCCTCATTGTGTTTGACCTACCTAAGACTCAGGCACGAAAACAGGGTTTAGAACATACGATCCCGACGACACTCGGTGGATTTCAGGAGCAGATTTGAAAGCATCCGCACCGCTGATCTACGCTCACTACGAACGTCAAAGGTTAGCTAAGGGACCTCCACGACCTGCCCCTCCAACCCGGACTGTGGTCCCTCCCTCAGACAGACAACTTCGTCCTCGCAGGTTAAGCTCGGTCTTTCAAGGAGGGGGGGGTGTGGCATACTGCGTAGCCAGGGCCCGTCCCGCACTTTCAGCCTAAAAGCCTAAAACTTAGGGCTTACAGGCCCCGGACGTTTCAGCCTGAAAGCTGAAATACGAGGGCCTGCAGGCCCTATTCCGTTTCAGCCTATTTCTGGGCCTTTCAGGCCCAGASGCTTTTCAGCCTGAAACGGAGGGCCATTTTCAGGCCCTCATTGTGTTCGACCTACCTAAGACTCAGGCACGAAAACAGGGTTTCGGAACAGGCCAGAAATAGCATGTTCCCCACGCCAGCTCAAGCAGGCGCTGCAGCTGCAGCCCCTGCCTCCCTACGGCATTGGCAAGAGCAGCCTCCTGGACTGCACCCGGTAGTACATAGGAAGTTCCCATGCACTTCACGGGTAGGTAGTTGTCAGTAGGCACGGGTAGTCTTCAGGATTCGGCCGCAGCACTCAGGAGGAGCGTTGCAGTAGTCTTCAGCGCTAGGCAGTAGTCTTCAGCGCTAGGCAGTAGCCTTCAACGTTAGTGGCAGTCTTCGGCGCTGGGCGCCCATAGCCATAGAGTAGTCTTCAGCGCTGGGCGCTGGTAGGTGGTAGATCGTAGAGTTGGGAGAGATACTCGCGGAGGCCAGTGGTACTTACCTGTGGCGCCATCGCTCCAGCTCCATCTGCAAGGTACCTGCATCAAGGCACCAACTTCACAGGTTAGTACTGGACACAAAGAGAGAGAGAGAGAGAGAGTTCTTCTTCTTCCTCTTCTAAGTCCACCATCTCTTCTCACCCTCTCGCCACCTGACGTCTCAGACTACAACAGGGAGAGACAGAGTTGTTACTTGAGACTTGACGGCATTGGATCCAGACTTGACATTTGGGATTCAGACATTTCGACGAGGGACTATTTGGGCCTGTGCCGAAGACTTGGTGTTGACGACATTCCCATCTTTCCCCTCCTCTTCGTCTAACCCCTTCTTCTTCGTCTGTGTATGGTAGGGGCTGGCGCAGTCTTCTTGTGTGAAGCGCCAGACCCCATTCACACCATGTAACGATGATGATGATGTATGTTCAGGGCTGCATTGCAATATTGATTGTTCGGATCACTGGTATCTAAGTCTTCCACTGTGTTATCTTGTATTTTGTATTGAGAGGTCGGTTCTTGTTCTGGTCTGCGCGTTACAGTATGCAACATTTCTGAGCTGCGCTGATTTAGTGTCCATCTTTGGCTTTGGTGTGAATCTTTGTGTGAGCTTTCATTGTGCATGTTGTGTGGAGATCGAATCTTGAGCAGATCATTGCATTGGTATCAGAGTTGGAACCCGCTGCATCCACTGAAGTTGGGTGCTGGCAAGGCATAAGGCCGGTGAGAAGTTGATTAGGGTTGACCTGGAGTCAAGGGCCGAAGAAGAAGAGGCCTGTTTGGGGTAAGAGGGAGCACGTACCTGCATGCCAGGAGTGGCAACGAGCAATGTCATCGAAGGAACGTTTAGGAGTGAAGTGCTTCGCCCCCTCCAAGCCCTGTATTTGCTGCCTTTTGAATTGTGTGTGTTTGAGTACCTTCCCACTTCTTGGAGACGTTGCTGCTGGTCAATTTCGTTGATGTCATCGTTGCAATTGTCTTTGAGTCAACAACTGGATCTGCTTGAGCTTGTGTGTCAGTCTAGAGGACGGATTCTCTCCTGGAGAAAAGGCTCCTCCCCTTGTTGGGAAGTGGTTAGTGGTTGCCAGCCTACTTGGGGGCATGCGTACCCAGTGGGACCCTAGCCTCGTGAGAGATCAAGAATCGGGCATGCTTTAGGTCGAGCCTAGGCTAGAAGGTCGGCAGCCGGAGGTATCACCCGTAAGTAGAGAGCATGGGCATGAGCGGTGGGCGCTCGTAAAACAACCCGGCTAGCCCTAAGACCGGTACTGACCGGCATGCAACTGAACTGCAACTGACGCAGCGAGATGTTGTAAGTCTTGAAAGCAATCCTTCAGATTGGTGGCCACGACATCCTAATTGCGTCGTTAAATAATTTATGAGGTCCTTTCTCGCAGACCTTAAATTTTTGGTTGGCCACCAGTTGTTAGGAGACCTGTAATGACGGGGGAATTAGGTCAGACCCTGAGCTAGGTTAGAATTAGAGTAGGTTAAGTGTTGAGGAGTAGGTCTACGTGGTGAGGAGGCGGACTCAACTTACCTGTGCTGACCCTCACCGTGGATGACTACCCCATGTTCAGTTTCCTGGCCTTGTCTGTCATGTGCGGGCCGCTACTCTGTTTCTTTCCGTCTTGGCTTCTTCCAGACTAGTAGGATGTGCAATACTAGTACGGCCAGTATTACAGACCCACCTTAGGTATTGTCATCATTCTGAGAAAGCTTTAGAAAATTTATTTGACTGGACGCCTTTGGATTGGGTAAGGATTCTAAACAAAGGTCCTTAGTTATTAGAAGGTGATTGGGTTGCTATGAATGATCAGTCCACCTTAGGTATTGTCATCATTCTGAGAAAGCTTTAGAAAATTTGATTGACTAGATGCCTTTGGATTGGGTAAGGATTCTAAACAAAGGTACTTAGTTATTAGAAGGTGATTGGGTTGCTATGAATGATCAGTCAAATATCTTAGGTACCCAGCCATATACCAACGAGGAGCACACAGAGATCGACAAGCAGCTGGTGGAAAAGAACAGGAAAAGGAGGAGGAGGAGAAGAAGAAGGCGAAGGAATTAAAAAAGAAAATGGAAGAAGAAAAGAGGACGGAGAAGGAAATGGAGGAGAAAGAGATGAAGAAGCAATTGGAGGAGGAAACAAAGAAGATAGAGGAGGTACAAGAAGAAGGGGATCTGTTGAGGAAAGGAAAAGGAAGAGTGGAAGGAGAAGAGAAGCCGGGTGAGGTGGAAAGTCACCCACGCAAGTCCAATCAACTGCAATGCCATCTCCTGGACACTGATGGATGGATGGACAAGTTCGAATTTAGAGGAGATGTGCAAGAGGAAGGGACTGAGGCCGAGCAGGCAGACTTTGCAGCAAAGATGATGGTTGCTGATGACGATGATGAAGGTGCCTTGCTGACCAGAAGGAGGTAGGAGCTTGATGAGAAAAACAGTTGAAAGCAGAGGGAGAGGCATTGCAGAGGAAATTGCAGGAGCAAAGGGGTAAGGAGGATAACTCGCAGGAGAGTCGAACCCTCGTGACTGACGCATTGCTGCACACTGCAAAGGAACTCGCTGCACTCCACAAGACTGTTAGCAAGATTGACCACCAGACCGAATTTCAAGGTAGGTCAAACAACTTCCTCTGTGCCTCTGCTCATCGGATCAATAATATGACTCAAAATTACGTCCATCGGTTAGAGGGCATCTTCACCAACAAGCTTGTGAGCACCATCGCATCAGTGAGGATAGGTGGCGGTGGTGGAGGAGGAGACGGTGGGGATGATGGTGATGATGGGAAGGGAGGCAAAGGCCCGAAGAGAGAAGGACACAAGAAGGGGAAGGAAAAGCAAACCAAGGGATAAGAGAGAGGAGAAAAGATGAAGGTGAAACTCCCTGGGACTCGTAAGGGGAAGAAGGACGAAACTATATATCCAGTGGGAGGCTTGTTTCTTTTATACACAAGAAGAAGTCCAAGATCAACTCACTAGGAATTGAACCTATGACCTACCACCAAAGAGGTGGATCACTTAGCCAATAGGTAAAGTGAGTTGGGATATAAGTGAAGCTCCGTGGGGGACATTTCACCCCACCCAAGCATGGATCAACCATGACCCGGTGTACCCAGACTCGATTCGACCTGAACGCACATGAGGGACAACTCACGGCACCGGCCAGACTTCAACCAAGCACTACCGCAAGGGCGTCCGACTGGTTCATAAGTGCTTGTTTTTCTATACACAAGAAGTCCAAGATCAACTCACTAGAAATCGAACCAATGACCTACCACCAAAGAGGTGGATCACTTAACCAATAGGTGAAGTGAGCTGGGATGAAAGTGGACCCCCGTGAGAGACATTTCACTCCACCCCAGCATGGATCAACCATAACCCGGTGCCGGGGATTTTAAACATCGGACACTATCCGACTTTTTTGTTGAATTGAAGGACTTGATGAGACTTACGTTTGCCAAAGGTTCATTCAGACTGAACCTATGACTGAGAGACTAAAAGTTTTCAAGCTTCAGTTCGGACGCTTGTGGAATAACCTATCAAACAGAAACGCTATGTTGAACCCAGAGACAACATTCTTGGGCATACAAGTCTGCCCCTTTGATAGGCTTCGAACAATTGTGTCCAGGGACAATATTCTTAAGCAAGCTATTCTTGGGCAAACCCAAGGACGAGGTAGAAGGGCAATGCTGCGGAATCATCTGATTCCGCCAGTTATTTGACATGCACATTGTGTCCTCCTCGAGAGTAACCCTCTAATGACCACTAACTTGTACTACGCAAATAATAGAGGTGGAAATATTATTCAAATATATGCCTTATGGCAAATTACTAGAAAACGCATCATAGAACAACCAGATAACAAGGACCAAACCACGAAAAAAAATCACCAGCTTGAAATTAGGAAAAGGCAAACTGGAAAGAAGGTAGGCAGAGACCTTTTGCGTTAGCGGCGGTCGGACAGCGCTAACGCGAATGGAACCCAGCGCCCGACGAACCCACGGTCCCTGCGTCAAGGCAATTCACACGAGGAAGCGCAAGAGGGAATTTTTCGAATTCCGGAGCTCCCACGCATCGAGACCCAAAATGGGGCAAGTCCAGCCACACCTTCGGGTGTGTCAAACAGCAACCATCGTACCTACGCCATCATCACGTCCACCATTGACGCGATCCCGACAAAGACACAACGAAGAAAACTAGAGGAACAATCAAAGTCGCCACACGGGCAACGTGAGACAGACAAATAGAGAAGGTGACGAGAACACAAGGTAATCAAGGAGGATGCTTGAGGAGAGGAAGGAGAGAAAAAGTCCAAGAGAGGGAAAAGAGAGCAAGGCAACAAGACGAAGACAAAAGGAGAACAGGTAGGGACAAGGAAGAAGAGACGACTGGCCGAAAGGAGAGGGAATATAGACAGAAGAGCCGGGGAAGAAGGGAGATCGCAAAGAGACAAGGAAGTACTATACTATTACAGGGTAGAGACAAGGAGGGCAAATCAAAGGAAAGATCCCGAAGAGGTCACGAGAGGACGATCGGAGAGGGAGTAACAGACACGAGTGGGTGACGGGAGAGGGGTTAACTATTACAAGGAATGAGACAAGAGAGGAAAAATCAGGGGAAGAATCTGCGAAGCATCCACGAAGATGATCTCTTAGACGAATCCTAAGAGGGAGAGAAGGAAGGACATGCCAAGTATCTGGCCTATCACAAGGCCACACAAGGTCGGTCTACTCCCGCTGCTTTTCAAAGGCAGGAGCCAAAACCCCACTTTCAACCCACCACATCGACCGTGCGGATCAGGGAAGGGTGAAAGTGAAGACAAAAGGGAGAGTGTTTGCTACGTCCATCACTCAGCAAACTACCACGAAGATTCCCACTCAAGTCGCACTCCTAGCCGCTACTGTCTGCCCCAGCGGATAGCTTAAAGGTACTTCGTTAGGAAACAACCACACATCCACCCCCATCAACCGACACAACCCCCCTACTCGTCACAACTTCCCACCGTCACAACTTTCCCCTCACCCCACACATACTCTAAATCCTTCTTCAACCCCCTCACCATCCATAGACCCCCGTGGAGATATTGCTGAGTACGCCAAGCATACTACCTGGCTGGAATTTTCCCATAAGTTAAGGGAGTGGTTGTCCACACAAACTTACAATGGCAGCATGCAGGATCTGATCCCAAAATTTAAAAAGATCGTGACACCAGAACTGGAGATTAGGGAAGGCCGCATTATGTATGCTTTTCTGAGGGCTCGTCCCAAGAGGCTCGCAGACCACTTTGGTCCCAAACAGAAGGAATTGAAGACTTACCACAAGATGGCAGCGGAGGGTTTAACATTAGACTCTATACTGCGGTCCGCTGAAAGGGACAACGGTGACCAGGAGGCCAATCAGGGATAGTGACGGGTTCACTCCTGTGTACGGGGGAGGAGGACCCAGCATTATCAAGATGTATGCTGCAGATACTGAAGGGCCGGTATACTTCAGTGACAACAAGAGTGGGAGAAGTTCAGAGGGCAAGAGAGAAGAGTGGCCCCAAAAAGGGCGAGAGGAGAGACCAGCATCTGGTTCACAGGGAGAGCAGAATCAAACAATTCTTGTTGCACTGCAGGAACTGACAAAAGTTGTGAAAGAAAACAGCCACAGCAACAGCAAGGGAGAATAAAACATTAGAGCGAGTGAGATGGAAAGAAACAAAGCATGGGTACTGCTGCAGTACAGCATTGGAGTGACAAAGGAGGCATATATGAACAGAATGGAGAATGGTTGTGTGTGGGATGCGGCCGCAGGGGACACCCAGGTCGAGACTGCAGAGCACAAAGACTGGTCAAAGAGTAGGGCCAGTAGATGGCGCAGCCACATCTAGCACAGGTTGGGGGGAATAAGTTTTCAAGTTGCAGGACGCCTAGTTCTCCCAATGCTCAATCGAAGTTGGCCAAGGTTGCAAGCGTTCGCTAGGAGGGGCATCACGCAGATGCAGACTGTGACAGCGACTATAGTGAAGGAGATGAGGAGAGCAGCGGCCGACACAGTGCTTTTGCCTGCACTCTCCCACTGCCAGAGATAATACAACACAACGAGGTGCAGAGGGTGATATGCTTCTGTGCTGCTGTCAAGAGGGTGTACACAGGGAACTGATTACAGATGTCAGTGAAGAAGAGGAGGTGACCATGATCAACATGTCAATCGCACAGTGGTGAAGACAATGGTGGATAATAGCTCCTCCTAAAATCATCTTTCCCAGAAGGCGATCAAGAGATTACATATGGGAATAAAAGTGCAGGAGTTCACCACGCTTGTGGAGGTAAAAAAGCAGATAGGAATGTGATTCAAGTTAGACAGTGTCTCAGAGACATTCCCGTCACTTCCAATGTTGATGGAAATATATGTCATATTGTGTTTTCTTCATCCTGGACGGATAAACGGTTTAGATGGTTCTTGGCCAGAGATGGCTCAGACCAATAAGAGCAGTGAGCACTTGCTCCACACAGATGGTGCAGATACCTGATGCAGCAAGCAATTATGTGGCTTGTGCGAGGAGATACACAAAAGGAGCATTGAGGGATGAATCAAGGAAGAAGTGTATGTCGGCACCAGCGTTCTTCACTTATTTGCGCCAGCATCACAGTGAGGGACTCCAGGTAGCATGGGTCGCTACAGCGGATGCACAAACCCTTCGCAGCAAGAACGGCTTTGGAAGATTGCAGCAACTTATAGAAGAGTATAGAGATCTGCAAGAAGAGTCAACTGGCATTGTAGAGCATCCCATCCATATAGTACCAGGTGTTGTACGCCCAAAGGGGCGTGTTTATCGATTGTCGCCCACAGATCTCAAGGAGTTGAAGAAGTAGCTAGCTACAATCGCAGAGAAAGTGTGGATAGCCCAGTACTAGCACCAATATTATTCGTGCCAAAGAAGGATGGTGGAGTCAGGATGTGCATTGATGACCGTGATTTGAATAATATCAACATCAAGAACGTGGGGCCGTTGCCACGCATCGATGACCTGTTGACAGAGTGCACATCGCGTAATTTTTTCCACGATCAACCTGAAGAGTGGCTATCGTCATATCATCAGATCGAGGTGGAACCTGCAGGTCAACACAAGACAACGTTTAGAACTCAATACGACAGTTATGAGTTCAGTGTTTTGTCATTCGGACTAACCAATGCACGTTTTAGTGGGCTATGACTAACTTGCTCAGGGGCTATTCCATCAGTTTATGGTGGTCTACCTTGATGACATCCTTGTGTTCATCCGCACTGTTGAGGAGCACATGGAGCGTCTGAAGGCACTATTTGAGGCACTGAGAAAGAGGAAGTACAAGATCGATGTGAAGAAAAGCGGATTTAGGAAGGAAAAGATATTGTACCCTGGGCATGTGATTGATGATTCTGGAGTTGACCCAAAAGCCAAGAAAGTGGAGGCTGTTGCAATGGCCAGTGCCACAAAATGTGAGAAATGTGTCGTCATTCTCTTGGGAATGGCCAATTACTATATGAAGCGCATTGAACGTCGATCCACCATCGCCACACCGTTGACCCGATTGACTGAGAGGTACTTCAAACTCACAAGGATCACCTTGTTAGACATCCCATCTTGAAGGTTCCAGATCCTGCAATGCCATTCGTGTTAATGACAGAGGCTAGTTAGTTCGGTGTTGGGGTGGTGATGCAGCAAGACGATGGGTGGCTTACCACCCGTGGAGTATTTGTCGAAGAAGATGCCTTCAAAGAGAGTTAGCTACAGCAAGTAGGGAGCAGGGTCATGAGAGGACGGATGCCATGGGCTGTCATATACAGCAGACCGGAAGAAGAGTGAGGTATGTGGAAAGATCCAACTCGAGACCTGGGACAAAGAGTTTAATGGGAGATTGGAATGAGAGCTTGAAGAAAACTTTAGCCAGCAAGGTCAGCAGATCAAGCAACCATCCAGCAAGTGAAAGTCAAGAAAGAGCTCAAGGGGCATTTATAGTAACTTGGCCGCTCAACGAAAGCTTCTAAAACGGGAAGGAAGAGGAGTTTTCAGAGCGCAGGCTGTGGGAAGTCTTAGCAGATAGTCTCTAAGCAGAATGAGCAAGAGGTGAGCGTCTCTAAGCAAATTGAGCAAGAGGTGAGCGGCGGTACATTCTTCCCACAGAGGACGTAATAAATGCTGCGGAGAGACATAGAGTGGGTAATTATGTAAGGGGACACTGGACACAGTTTCCAGCCCAGAAATACAAATCCATTCATTCATTCATTAACTGAAAAAGAAAAAGGAGAACAGCAAGACCTTATGGGGAGCAAAGGTCCAAGAGCACTGTGCTTTACCAGCATTTGTTGTTCCCTTTTCAGCTCCCGTCTCTCCTTTGCCGCTCTTTCTGCCTGCTGCTTCTCACGCTCGAAAATATGCCTCTCTCTTTCCTTCACCGCAGCTTCCTCCTTGGCTACCTTCTCCATTCGTTTCTCCAGATTTGCCATTTGCTCCTTCATTGTAATCTCCATGATTTGGAGTTGCGCTTGACGGGCTTTCACCTCACTTAGTTCTGCCTCCAGCCTTGTGCTCGTATCTGCCAGCTTCACTGCCATGTCAGACTTCTTAGAAGTAATCTGTGGCCCACAGAATCCCATAAACAACACAGTAGACAAGTCAAGCACGTGTGCCAATACATGAGCTTGCAAAGTGTAATAGGCTAATAGCAATTGGGGATTTGTTTTTCCTTTTTTTTTTCGTTTCAATCCTCTGTGGAACGTGACATGACCTGGCCTTTCCAGGCCTCAGGGGAACCCCACCAGCAATACCCTCTCCCATATGATGAGAGAGTCAAGCTCCACCACCCCCCATGGGGCCTGGGCAGGTAGATAGGGGAGCTACTGCTTGCGCTCGTGCAGAGTGTGTTGTGCCAAAACCCTCCCTCCCCCATCTCCGTATGAACATCAGCAGTGTCTCAGCCGGCAGTTTTGGCTTAAGAACCTTCTAATGCCAACCAAGGGGTCCAGACAGCTATATCTAGGTGGTAGGCCCCAAGCCTGCCCAGGCAGGTACGGAAGTTGAATGCACGACTTTCCCCATGCCACTTGCGTGCCTTACCATCTGACCTATGCCTCTGGCTCGCAACTGATGACTGAAGAGCTACAGGGAAGAAACAAGGGGGGTGGAAATAAAGACAAGGCAAAAATGGGTTTTCAACTTTTCAAACAAAAAACTAGCTTCAGCAGTAGCATGGGCGGAGGTCAATGGTGAAAACAGAAATAAGGGTAGAATTGAAAAATGCGAGGAGCTCGATGAATAGAGAACTGGGCGTACAGAAAAAAAGGGCTCATACAGAAGAACTGAAACATCGCTACAGGAAGGGGGCCTGGCCAAGATAAAGGGCTACTCTTTGGTGTTCAACAATTGGAGTGGGTCAACGCTGAAGCGTTCCTAGAAGAAAGCGGAGGGGAGGAAGAGCACCTGGATAGATAGACATGTAGATAAGAAATCCTGCTTCAGGGAGGACAGGTCAGGAAGAAACCAGAGAGTTAGGCTTGCTCTAGAGCTTCCACTTTGAACAGGCGGTTAGGATGGCTATCTGCATAGGAGCAGGGCTCAGCAGGCATATTTCTGTCCCCAGACAACAGGGGTGAGCAGGGGTAAATCCTTTCCCACTCAGGACGTAACCAATGCCGCCGTCTCAGGGTTCCTCACCCATAACGGAGTGTTGGCTCAGTTTATTATATACGGGACACAGAACCCACTTTTCGGCACTAATAGTAGCTCCTGTAGCATGGCAAACATCGATGCCCGCACCCTCACTCCAACAATTCCAGTCCTACCCTTCCGTTTTGACGAGGCGAAAGAGGAATGGCAAATAGCAGTCCGCTCCAACCTGGCCATTGTAACAGCGCAGGACTTGACTCAGCCAGGCAAATGCCTGAGGTCAAATATCTCAGACCAACGCCCCCAGGCCTTCTACAGGGCAGTTCTGATGAGAGGCTGAAGGTAACGTGGAACGGGGAAGAGGGAACCTCAGAGAATAGGCCTCTACGAGGAGAGTCAGAGAGTGGAGAACTTTCTCCACCTTGCCATCTTTCTCTAAGCGCAGATACGCCTGAACTCCCTCGACATAATCCTCAACACGCACCGTGCGGTTGTCTGCGAGGATACTAACTATGGGGTCTTCCAAGACATGAGATATGACTATCTGACAGACTTGAGGGAAGGACTTGAGTGGAAACCGTCGGAACTGATCTGCGAGATACCCCACTGGCTGGGACACAGAGATGAAGTTGACAGGATCGCTTACAGTGTCGCATCATTCATAAGGGAGGAATGGTTGGGGAAGAACAAAGGAGAAGCAATTGACAAAATAAACACTGAAAGGACGAAGAAGGAACAGATGAGAAAGAGAAGGGAAGAGGAAGAGGGGAAATCCAAGCAAATCTCTACCTGATTCTAAGATTAGTCCCTCCTCGACGAACACCCACTACCCAACATGGTGGAGACTCGTAAGGAAGGGACTACCAGAGAGGCAAAGAAATTCAAACCAACCACGGACGAAGACATACTCAGAGAAATCAGAAAGCAACCAGAGCTCACCAGCACTTCATGGAACGTGAATGGACTAGCCTCCATATTAGACAACACGATTAAATGGAGGACTTCGACAGAAGACATAGGCTGGTTCGGACCAAATCCCCCAGATATAACATGTCTACAAGAAACACACCTCACGAGTAGTAATGAACATGAAAAAAAAAAACTAGCTCTTGTGAGGAAATTAAGACATGTAAAACCAGCCTTCTGGGTCGACGCTACACCCAACGGATCAGCAAGCATCGTCGTCCTCCTACATCAGAACTCAAGGGCAAGCAACAACATACAGTTCCTAAACAATTGGCAAGACACGTCGGGCAGATAGATTAGACTAGACATCAAACATAAGGAAGAGGAATTAACAATCTTCGGGATATACGGTGCCAACAACCCCCAAGAAAAAAAACATTTCCTCCATACCATCGAGAACCTGATCCCCCCCACAAAATCACGTGATTCTAATGGGTGGTTGGAATTTTGTCCAAGAACTCTCCCTTGATAAAATCTCTAATGCGGCACACCCATCTCAACAATCAAACAGCATAGAACTAACCGACTTCACTACACGAAAGAACCTACTAGACCCATTCCGCCTCCTGCACCCCGAAGCGAAACACTTCTCTTGCATTAGGAAAACATCCCATAATAGAACCTCATTTTCAAGAATAGACTTCTTCCTCATCGCAAAATCGACCTCTCACAGCATTCTAGATCACAAACCTATCACACTTGATCTCAGGTTCACCAAAACAGCATACCTGGGTAAGAGCTTTTACCGTTTCAACAACGCCTTACTCACCAGCCAATCCTTCACTTCAGAGCTAAACAATATACTAATCCAAGCCTGCCAGAAAGTGGAAGTACCGCTTTCCCCAAAATCGTTAAAGCCATCAGCAGTAAAGTATCACAAACTTCAAGAAAATTAGCTGCCCAAGGAAAGGAAAAGGAAGAGATGCTAAGAAATGCAATCGACATGGCAGAATTTAAGCTCCAGCATAACCCCAAGTCACCATTCTTCACAGAGCTCTACACCAAAGCAAAAAAGGAATTATCAGAGTGGACAAAATAGAAACTCAGAGGCCTTCAACTAAGAGCCAAAGTAAGAGATTGGGAACTGAATGAAAAAATGACCAAATATGTCTCTCAAAGAATCAAATCCAACACCAGGAACGCAAAGATTGAAAGTCTAGCAGACATCGATGGTACTCTCACTTCAGAAACCACCCAACTAGTTAATATAGCAACAAATTTCTATAAGGACCTATATACCAACAAAACATCAAAGGAAAGTCACAACGAAGTCATCAGAGCCAGAAACAAATTCCTGAAGTATCCGAACCACTCCCTATCCAAAGTGTCAGCTAACAGCCTTGAGGAACCTATCACAATTGAAGAGTTGTACAAGGCTCTCAAAGACATGAAACCCAATAAAGCCCCAGGCAGAGATGGCTTATCCAAAGAATTATGGCTCGCAAGTTGGCATAAGTTGGGCCCTATCTTCCTAAATTTCCTAACTAAAGCCTGGACAAACGAATCCTTGGGGCCAAAACTTCGTACAGGAGTGCTAACTCTTCTCTACAAAAAAAAGAGAGAAAGAAAACATTAAAAATTATCGTCCCACCTCCCTCCTCAACGTGGCTTACAAAATCCTAGCTAAGTTATTAGCCACAAGAGTCAACCGACTCACTGAAAGTTGCTTTCACCTAGACCAAACAGGTTTCATCCCAGGCAGGCTCATTCTGGACAGCCTTGAGGAACCTATCACAATTGAAGAGTTGCACAAGGCTCTCAAAGACATGAAACCCAATAAAGCCCCAGGCAGAGATGGCTTATCCAAAGAATTATGGCTCGCAAGTTGGCATAAGTTGGGCCCTCTCTTCCTGAATTTCCTAACTAAAGCCTGGACAAATCCTTGGGGCCAAAACTTAGTACAAGAGTGCTAACTCTTCTCTACAAAAAAGGAGATTAAAAAAACATAAAAAATTATCGTCCCACCTCCCTCCTCAACGTGGCTTACAAAATCCTAGCTAAGTTATTAGCCACAAGAGTCAACCGACTCACTGGAAGTTGCTTTCACCTGGACCAAACAGGTTTCATCCCAGGCAGGCTCATTCTGGATAACGTAATGACTCTAACTGAATCTACCAGACTAATAAACGAAAGAAAAATCACGGCGGCTATCCTGTTCTTCGACTTTGAAAAAGCCTACGACCAGGTCAATTAGGACTTCTTGCAAAACTGGATGGAAGAAATGGGGGTGGGACCGAACTCCCCCAAATGGGTTAGAGTGTTATATAATGATGCTCAAGGGATCGTCCAGGTAAATGGGTTTTTGTCCAACCCTTACAAAATGACAAGATCAATGAGGCAAGGTGATCTGCTAGCAGCCCGAATTTTCCTTTACGTCATGGAAGCCATCGCAGCCTATCTCAGAAAAGACCCCTCAATCGAAAGATTGAGAGCCATAAAGGATGACAGCGACCGCTTTCTCCACCTCCCAACCACCCTACTCTTTGCATATGATCTCACAGTCTTGATTAGAGCCTCCAACTCCTCTTTCCATGCACTCATAAGAGCCATGCAGGCATTCCAACTAGCCTCTGAAATGAAAATCAATTGGACGAAAACAATAAGATGGTGGATCTCATAGAGTCCCCCTCCCACAAAAATTACACTAGAAGGCATGCTATGGGCTGACCCAGCTATCTCGATCCGTTTCCTAGGTATCCAACTCAGCACAAAAGGTTATCACCCCTCCTCAACGGCTTCCCTTCTTTCATCTATGATCAACAAAATGCATAGCTGGCAACGCTCGCACACATCGCTTCTAGGAAGGGTCCTAGCATTGAATAACTCGGTATTAGCTATGATGTGGTATACGACCTCGATCCGGTTCCCCTCTACAGATTTCCAACAACAAATTAGAAAAAAGGCAGCAGCATACCTATGGACTGGAAACCCAGACAAACAACACTTCATTCACAAGGTATCTTGGCAAATAGCCACAATGTCCAGAAGAAAAGGAGGGTTGGTC